CAAATCATTTTGCTTCATTAACCTTTACAGGACGGTAATGCCACTATAGAAACATTGAAACAATGTCATATTTTGAGGCAAGGAACGCAATGAATCATAACAAATCTTTTTTTCAAAGTAAAGGTCTGTAAGAATCTGAAAATAAACCCGCCGTCTAAAGGTTAAGAGACAACAATAAATAAATAAATATATACATAATTTATTTTTAATATTAAAAATTATTATGCTAAATAAAAAGAAGAAAATGAGCATCTTCCAAATCTTCAGATATGATATACCTGCGAGAAGAAAAAATGCTTAAAGATAACAGATTTCCATGCAGGCTGTAAAGAAAAGTGTGTTTTAACAGACTGCTCTGTATTAATCCCCCTTACAAATAAATAAAAAAAAATAATTTTGAGAGAGAGAGAGAGAAAGAGAGAGAATTTAGAATATTCATTTCAGAACAAGGAGAATTCTATAGAAATCTGTATTACCTGTGGTGCAATATCAGGTACATTATTGCTAACGCTACTAGCTCTTGACATGATAGGACTGATTCCCGGTGTTCCTGGTGTACATGGTGCTGTGGAAGATCGCGGGCCTGGGGAAAGGGAGTGATACCTAAAATCCCTAGACTGATATGCGCCAACTGAGCTGTTGCTTCGAGATACTCTTGATTGTTTCTTCAATAATGACGGATGGGTATCCCATTTAGGTTCTATCGGTGCTTTTCTGTAACAAATCATTTTTAATAGCTACAATCTTTCAAGTAAAGATAAAAATTATGATTCATAAAAAAAACATAATTTATCAGATTTTTAAATTATTAAAAAATTGCTAATATAAAAGCTTCATGATTTACTTCAAAATCAAAATAAAATTAATATAATTGTTATATAATTTTGAAAATAATTATAAAAACATGTTTATATAAATGCAAATAAGTTCTTTAAAAAAATTGCCTTGTCTCTCTCAACTAGACATATTTATAACAGAAATATATATTTACGGCGGTGGTGGAGGTGGAGTTGAACAATATTCAGCCAGATTATCCTGCTTTACAGGGCTTGTAAAATTGATTAGATCAGTAGAATCTTGACTTGACGCGGCAGTTGTCGAATTTCTTCTACACGGTATTGGGGGTGGTGGAGCTAATATTGCAGCACTTTTTTGATTTGTGTTAATGCATCCAGGTCTTGGTCGACTTCTGCATTGAGACCTGTACATATAATGCATAAATTACTTAAGTACCATTGTAAACAGTAAGTTTATCTTCTATCGCGAGTTAAAGATTATTAAATTATATCCAATTATTATATATATTATATGAAATTATAATCAATTGTAATCAATATATTATATCAAATTTTACATATTATAAAATTATAATTAATTGTAAAGTTAAAATCAATTGATGAAAATGAAAAATGTCCAGTGTTAAAATATAAACCTTTCTCCTTGCAAGCTGTCTGTCTCTGACACGCTATTCGTATTGCACGCATTGTTTTGAGCGAGGCACGCCTGCTGCACGTTACTAAGTTCCAATCGCAACTTCTCCAATCTGTATTTTTCTAGAGCCAAGGTCTCCAAACTGAGAGCCTTGGCCTGCTCCAAATCCTCCTGATACTTCCTTTCATGATCGATCACCGCAGTCCTTTGGTCGCAGGTATTTTTACTGTAGTGTGACATCTAAAATGAGATTCGAACATTTATTGTTATTACGCCAACAATATATTTCCCTACGACCTACGATTCGTCCCGAGTAACAGCCGAATTAGGAGCGGCTACAGCGTGTCATAAATCACACGTTCTAACCTATACGGAACGGAGTCAGCGACGGAACAGCAGCTGGAGCGGAGATCTCCGCTCGTACGGCGAGGCGAGTGAGTCCAAATGAATCGTTCTCGGCTTCGAGGACGGCGTCCCTCGCGGGAGTGTCTATCGACTGTCGTGCATCTCGCGTCGCTCCGTGTCACCCTGAAAACGTCACCGCGTCGGACGGATTTCTCGACTTTCGCGGACACGGTGACACGTAGCGACGGCCGACGCGTGCGCTACTGGCCGCCAGACTCCGGAGCAAGCCGGAGCGGGCAACGCAACGCGCGTGTATCGATAAACAACGGGGGAAAGAAGGAAAGGAGCAATAATAACGAAGAGAGGAGGAATCCGGAGCTGCGCGGCGTGTGCGTTTAAAGGGCCGCGTTATCAGCCGCGCGACGGTTACTGGCGGACTTCGGAGCGACTTGATGAATCCGCCGGCTGCTCACCGTAACATTATTCCCCGAACAGGCACGTTTCTCAGCTGACAGGTGCTCGTGCTTCCGTGTCTCTCGTTCTCTCGAACCCTCCGTCTCGCTTCCTCGCGATTAAACGAGGCGATCCGCCGACGCAACGCGCCGTGACGCGCTTAGGAAAGTAACGTTTTCGTCCGGCGCTCCGCTCCCGTCCGTCCTGGGTTCCGGCGCGGTTTTCGTCGAACTCCCTTCCGAGCCTCGCTCCGAGCTCGCCGAAACCTCTAACGGGCGTCCGACAGCAACCGGCGCACCGACTCGACTCGCTCGAGTGTATGTACGTTATACTGTTACGGTGGTCAACGACGTCAACGCGCGAGACGGCACTGCAGCCGCGGGCGACGCGCCGCTATTACGGCGCGTCAAGGAAGTGGCTTCGCCGACGATCAACGGACCCGCGCTCCTCGCGTTGATCGCGCGAGCCTTATTCGATTCAATTTATGGAGCGCGTAGGCTCGCGACCAGTTAGGAGTTCCGCTTACCGTACACGCGTCTCCGCGTCACGATAAACTGTCCCCGGCGGCTCCGCTCGTATATGGAAGCGCGTAGCTGCGCGCCGCTGCTATAATGCTTATGCGACTTTGTTTGTTTATACCGGGTGATTCATAAAGTCGGCGCTCTCGCACGGATAAGTCACCGTTCAAAGAATAATAGAAATAAATAAAAAATTATAATATCGTTAGTTCCCGACTGAACAAGTTTCAAGAACATTTTGACTCTGATCGCATATCACTTTCATGAATTTTTTATTTTTGGACTTATATTTTGGTTACGCCTTCTCGTCTGAGAATATGTACTTATACTCTCAGTGCGATTATTTCAATTTTTTTAACATGGACTACTATTGCGACGACTTAACACAAGGAACGTTTTTTTTTTAATTACAAGAGAGTAGGGACTACATTGTTACTGTAAGAACGAAAAATCATCACCATCAGTATTAGAGTAATTATTATAGAATTATGTGTACCCAACCATTACAGAAATTTATTTTTTTGCGTAATATAATAGAATTATTTATATCCAGCCGTTACAGAAATTTAATTTATTGCTTCTAATTTTTAGAAATTTTGTAAACACTGAGGATGACCTGACAGAAGATTGAAATGTTTAACATATTGAACATACTTATTATCAATTTATGTTTAAATAAAAAATTATTCAACATCGATGGAGCAATGCACGATACGTAAAATTTGTTTGAACAGCGTGGTACTTTATTTATTTCGAAACGCCGCATTTATATGAATATATTTTACAGTTACAAAAGTAAAGTACACACATATTCACACAGTGCCCTTCGTGGAAGGTTAAAAGCGAGTCACTAAAATCTAATATAAGGTATATCTTTGATATGAATGCTACCTAAGTAGGATAAGTCACGATAACGTTAAAATAATATTAAACTGGATCATAATTGATTAAGTGACTTGTAGTTTTGACGTCATTTTGATGTCATGATGACTCGTGTTCTGCTTGTACCCCCCTTGAAATAATTAGTTGAATCGATATTGATCGACGTCGATGGCCTTGGTCCATCGATGTCAATTCGACCAATTATTTCTAACCGAATATAAGTACATAGAAATGAGGGCCGCTGATAACAACTTAATGTTTTCGTAATTATAGTAAAGCCATATTATTTTTATCTATTTAAAGTATTTTAGAATATGAAGTCATTCCATATGATATTTTTTTTATTTCTGAATAAAAATATAGAAAAAAAAAGAATAAATTTAAATCGATTTGCTCTCGTCTTTTACAACCTTCTTACATCTTTCAGCTAATTTTTGTATTTTCTGCTTACATTATTATAATAAACATAATAAGTAGACAAACTGATTCTCTTTTTTGCATTTGAAAACTGGATAACCTCCCTCACAAATCTTACATTTAGTTGTAATGGAAAACCAATCATTATTCACTCGTTTCTTTTCGTATTTCAACTCGACTGCTTCTCGATTGTCTTCATCCGACTTTGTCGATCGAAAATCTTGATTGTACGACATCGATCGGTGAGAAATACAATGATTTCCGATAATTCGGACATGTTCTCTGATGTTCTATTCTTCTGAAGAAGAGATTTTGCCAATCTCAATAAAATCTAATAGCCTCTACTTTGTTAGATACATTAATATTGCGTTCCATTTATCTACGAGTAACGCAAACGTCATAATTTTCAAACGCGGACACATGTGTTCAAATGTGACAAATAAGTGTTCGTATCAAATCCTCTTTATAGTTTCTTTTGTCATCTCTGGAAGGTTCAACTCGTCCAAATGGCTTTGAATTAAGATCATTACTGTCATACGTATCTTTTAAGTCTACGTGGCTTTTTAACATAACTACTCATGTAGCATATTTCTGATACCTCGACATTCCATATACTTCAGTTTTATTGTTCTCTTTCTTAATTTATTAAATTAAATAGAGATAATATTTTATACATCCTTTAAATAAAAATATCGTCATCGAATATCAAACAAAACGTTCCTTTTGTAAATATGACCCTAATTGTAAAACAATTTAGAACCACTAAGTCTAAACTGTTGTTGAAATACAAATGACTCTCTAGCTTTGTCCGAGAATGAGAAGATTATTCATGTTGATACATTCATAAAAAGTTAAATATTTAACAGTAACAAACAATTTCTATTTCTTCGTCACGGATAAGTACATTATCGCAGTAATTTTATATACTTTATGTGTAGATAAAATTTATGTACTTCATGTATTTTTACCTACTAGTCTCTTGAAGAAAAAAAATACTCTTATAAATATACAATCCGTATTTAGGAAGATGAGGTAATGGTAAGCCAATATCCCGCCTCGCTCGCGGTCACAAGACTCCGTCTGCTGAACTTGATCGGCACCGGTGACTTGTCGCATATCTCAACCCGATGATCCTTGAGGAACGCTATTATTCCCATCTTGATTTGCAGCAACGCGAACCGCATGCCTGGAAAGTTACGAAATCGTTGTAATGGGCCGTGATTACGACGCGTTGATTATTTAATTGCTGACTTTACGATGAGTTTGAGACAAGCTTATCAAATCGGGACGTAGACTTTTGCACAAAACACGCATACAGTATATTATCAAGGTCATCGTCCTTTGGGCCGCATAAATTTGCACGCTCAAGCGAGCGATGCGTTTCGGTCTCTTGAGCTAATAATTACTAAGTGAGTTATTTGAACGATAAAGTTTGCACGCAACGTAATACTTTAATATGCAATCTGTCGTCCGTCGATTATTAGTTGAATTAACGATCGGAGATAACGTGGAACATTGGTTGAATGAGATTCAACAACGTTAGCATACTTTTGCATGAAATACAACCAATAGAGATAAGGAAAGATTTGTGATAAGAAGAATCGATAAGACGATTGAGCGGGATTACATGGCATTATTTGTAAATCTTATAGATATTATTTTTTATCGCGAATAATTCTGTCATAATTTTCAAGCGCTAATCAGCGAATAAGCTTTTTTTTTGGTTCAAAAGAACGACGTAGGCATATGACGTAATATCGTGTGTTGAGTCAGCGGATTATAAATTCCGGATTGACCATTTGTTTAATTTTCTATTTGCAATAAAATTATATTATGATATTGTTCACAATCACCAACAGAAAAAATAAGTAATTAAAAAACTTTAATGGACTGTTTATCTGAAAATCTGAGAACTGCCTAAACATGTTTGAAAGATAAACGGTATCGAACAATTTTCTTTATATTGAATAACATTACATTTATAAGTATAATTGATTAACAGTATATTGCAAGTATAAGGAAATAATTATTAATTAATATAGTAATTACCTAGACACACACAACACGCACGTCCAAAAAGACACAAGACATAAGACGTCTTAAAGACGTCTAAAAGAGATTTTATGTTTCGATTTTGGACTTTTTATTGTCTGGATAATTTATATTATAATGATTCATATTATGATAATGATAGTAATTAATTTATATTATAATGCCATTATACTAATTAATAATAGTTATCCATAAATGGATAATGCTACATTTTTCTTTCATATAAATTATTTATATTTTTCTTATCTTCATAATAAATAGTTGAGGAATTTCTCCTCAATTTTTTAGTTACTGATAATAATTTATCTATAAATGAATAATACTACTATCTCTCTCTGCAGTCTATATCAATTATTCATAATTTCCTTATCTTCATAATACACAGTTGAAGTATTTCTCCCAAGATTTCTCTTCAATTTTCTAGTTGCTGATATTATTTCACTGAGTGTAAGAGTCAATACCTATGCAATTTCGTGGTCCTTCTCCGAATGGAAGATACGTGTAAGGGTGTCTCGTGCGTTTATTCTCCTCCGTGAATCTCTCGGGATCAAATCTTGCCGGATCGGGATAGTAATTTGGGTCATGATGGAGGCCATAAATCGGTATGACGACCCGCAAGCCAGCCGGCAGCTCCACATTGCTGTCCGGTATCCGGTACTTGTACTCGCATCTTCGAGCGAACAGTGGAGCTGGCGGATACTTCCTGAGAGTCTCTACATAATTTACAATTCTAGCATTTCCAGATTATTTCCAACGCGCGTTGAGTCAGCGAATTATGAATTCTGGATTAACTGTTTGTTTAATTTGCAATTTGCAATTTATATTGTGATATCATTCACAATCATCTACAGAAAAAAATAATTAATTAAAAAAATGTAGACTTTAACAGATTGCTCGTTCCGACAACGAAAATCTGAGAATTGCCTAAAACATATTTGAAAGATAAGCGGTGTCGATTTAAAATAAACGGTGCTCACATTCGCGCTGTGTTTGCGACAGATATATCTGATTACATGTGAACTCCGTTCGTACGTATGACACAAAACACGTATGCAGATATTTGCATTCACACGGGTTCACTTCTTAATAATTTACTTTATTTATTAAAAATAAACGGTCTCTATTTTATGTTCATTACGTCATGATGATTTTATCATAAACGAGTGAGATTCGAATTTCAGCGTTGCTCGCGATAAAAAGATTACATCCGGAGAAATTTTTCATTTTTGGAATTTTCATCAATGATACTAACGGATCCGTACCTAATATTACCATGTCGAGATACTTCATTTCCTGAATCGCGTCGTAAGTTAATTTTCCATCTCCTATAGCATTGTGTACCTCTCGCCTGGTCTTATCTTGGATTTCTTGGTTCAAGGCTAGTTCGTAGAGGCAAAACGCGATCGTGTTCGATGACGTTTCGTAACCGGCGGCAAAGAAACCGAACGCTTGTGCCGCGATAGTGTTCTCATCTAATTCTATAAATAACAAATTTCTTTAGCCTATATGAATAAAACGACGTTGCCTATTTTGCACGATATTGCAATTTGGCTCACCGATTTCCTTCGCCACTTGGGCGTCTTCATCGCTGCAGATTCTTAGATTAGTGGCTTCGCTCTCCAGAGTACCCTTGTTTTTCAACTCGATTAATAGGTCCATGAAATCGTGTCTGGTCGTGCCGTTACTCTCTCTTTGGCTGATCATTTGTGATACGACATGCGTGAAAAACTGGGTAACGCTCGGATCGACGAGCTGCACACCCATCAGCTTGTACAGCCTCGGCATGGCCGTTCGTAGCATCCTCCAGAGAGTGGCCTTGTAACTCGGCTTCGAGAGCTTCTTCACCGCTCTGTGAAATTCGGATTCTTCGTCGGTGAGCGCGTTTATCTGTATGCCGAAGGCACAGCTGCCGATGACGTCAATGATGAATTTCGCGGCCAGTTCCCGTACCTCGACCGTTTGGTCACCGAAGCTGCTTGCCTCATTGATAAGCCGCTGCAACTCTTCGCAGCATTCCACCAGTAGGTAGAACATCCGCTTCAGCTTGCCCGACGAGAACGCGGGCGTTAATTTCGACCTGAGACCCTTCCACTTGCGCCCTTCGAGATTGAATAGATGGCCGGAGAGCGGATCCTGACGCGTACACGATAAGATTTAAAGTTCATTAACAGAGTTTTCACTATCAGTATTTTAAGAAATATCTAATTAGACAGGAAAGAAAATCTCCCCCCACGGAATAGATAGTTTTGTTGAAGTATCTAAAAACTTAGCTAGGTAAAGATCTGAAAATAATTATGTTAGACCATCAAAATAATTATGTAGGATACGCTTAAACTAGTTGCTAGAATGTCAAAACTTTTTGTAGCATTGTTCATCATGCTTGAGATTCTTAAACAATTATTTTGAAAAGCAAACAAAATTATTTTTATTTCATTTTTGGTGCAATAATGTATGCTTTGTATATTTGACTGAATACACTATACGATCTCAATCTTTTACACAATTTGAAAATGTCTCTTAACCTATCCAAATTACTCCGCTTTATAGAGTATACTCTACCCGCGAGTCAAAATTTTAGTCCTACTTTGAATCTCTTTCAATCTTAATTAAACCTTATAAACCTGTTTTGATACTTGTACAATCAAATAGGGCCTCTTTTAATATTACTTAATCTACAGCTTCTATTTAGAAAACTTCTTTTGAACTTGAAAATAGGAAATCTTGCAATGACTGCCATTTACAGGTTCAAACGTAGGAGCTCAATTCATTAGATTAGAACCTATAAATCTCTAGAGTCTACATACGTCCTAAAACTAAGGTTCAAAGTAGGAGCAAAATTTCGACTCGGGATACCTAAATTTTTGGATACTTCAGCAAAATTGTTCTTTGCGTATATTAATAGTCGCGTATACCTGATCGCTATTGATCGGTATCCCACGATTCAGGAAGTAAGCGAAATCCTTGACGCACACGCTCTTCACTAGATCGGGATCACGTAGAATCAGCACGGGCGATCTTACTCGAAACGCGCCAAAGAACCTTTCATCCTTGAACCACTGATACATCTCTTTCACGCCTTCCGGTTGCGACGTTCGAAACAGGAGCAGGGAACCAAAATTTCCGACGAGCACAGTCGGCTTTTTGAACGGTACACCGCGACATTTCCAAAAGTCAAAGGTAGCTGTGAGATAAAAGTATAGGCTACCGAGGACGAGTCCGATAAGTAGAAAAGGATCCAGTAATATCGCTACGATATCAAGCATTTTCAATCTTTGCTCGACGCGCAAGTTTCAAAAAAACAGCTTTTCGCCTAAAAACGTAATCTCTAATTTATGACAGAAAAATAATAATTTATGATAGAAATAATAATTATTTTTCCTCTTATAATTTTAGTGTTGATAGGAAATAAACTGACGTTGTTTATCGTCATTTTAATGTCAAAATGAAGTCTTTGATATTTTGACGTCAAAATAATAACGAATAACGTCAGCTTGTTTTCTGGGTATATGATTAATGTGACGTAATTTTTAATTTATATTGCATTTGATAATTTCTCCGACGTGAGCGGATTATTCGATGGCCGCGCGGAATCGTTCAAGTCGAATATTGATTTATGATATACGTTGTTGAACAGTACAGCCGCGGCTGTTTGACTACAAGTCTGTTTGAGTCTATTTTTAAATTCGTTTTACAAATGTAAACATTTGGCCGCGCAAAGGAGTAGTACGAGCAGATATTACCATGCTCGCGATGTGTTTGCGACAGATCCGATTACACACGAGCTCCAGTCGTACGTACAGAAAACGCGCGCGTATATGTTTAGCGGAGTCCTACATGAGTTCACTTCTTAACCACCTGCTGCTTTCAACAGTGACGTCAAAACATTAACCAAGCATTAAAACACTCCATCGGTTACAACTTCATTTCTGTTGTGCAAATATCGCATGTTGCACGACAGAACGTTTCAGAGACATATTTTAAATATTCTTAAAAGTATTATTGTAAAAAGTCCATAATTCCGTTCTGATATGATTCAGTTTATATCGAATCAATTTATATTTGTAGATAAATTGTCCGTCTCAACATTAATTAACAGACTTTATTATTCTTTCGGTTTATCAGTTTCTTTCATTCAATTTCTAATCAAAGAGTTCTGTGTGTGTACTTGACACTCACGTAATCACATATTTCCTGTCCGTCTCATCCTGACATATTTCTTAAAATACTTAAAACTTAAAAATAAATTAGTCTCCCATATCAGTTTCGAGAATAATTATAACCGATAGTCTTCGAGAAGAATTATGACCTATGAATCATCGATAATGACTTCTGAGATTTCAGGAATCCATGAAATTTCAAAGTTGTGCGGTTCAGACGGTCGTTCGATTACTCGACATAAATCAAAATAAGCATATCATAAGTGTAAATTGAAATATACAATAAAAAATAAATCAAAATAAGCATATCGTAAGTGTAAATTGAAATATACCAAGCAGATTACGAAACACTTCTTTTTAAGAAGTGCTTTATATAAAATAACGATCGAGTGGTTCTTGACTAATTTATCGACTTTCTATCGACATGCGCTTTTATCGCGATTGTTTACTATGTCTGACTCATGCGTCTGGAATTTTTTCAAAAAAGAGAAAGAATCTTAGAAGGGCTCAGACAAAAGATTCGATTTATTCGAATAGTTCAAAGTCTAAAAAAATGAGCATCTAATTCGAATACTTTGGACAGTTCGAACAGTTCGAGCTTAAACAGTGATCAGTATGAAATGTCAATTCGTTATGTCTAGAGTTCGGACGGTTCGGACAGTAAACAAATATAGTATGCCTTAGAAACAAAAGAGCAGTTAAATAAATTTCCTAATTTATTGATATCGTCCTACAAATATCCTAAGCCATCCTGGACATATTCAGGATGATCCTGAGGACGACTTGTGATGTCTGAGTTCGAAATGTAATAATTTCGAATTTTCAGCTCTGAAGTGGTTAAAATAGTTCGAACATACATTCAGTCCGAACTATTTAAGTCCGAACTATTAAAGAACTAACTTAAGATTCGAACTGTCCGAACTGTCAAATCGTCTGATGTTTCCGAGCACTCCTTAAAATGATCGAATCAAAAGAATACGTATCTTTCATTAATCTATTAAAATTTTTAGTATCATATATTATGTATATTAATTCCAATAACGACGCATTGGATTTGTTTAGTTTTTATTACGCCAGTTCAATTATTTCAAATTCCTCACATTTAGATAAACGATGATATTTTTATTCAGCTTATGCTGCAATTTGCGCAGCACCCGATTATCGACGCACTACGTTTTTTCGCCGAGGGGATGTGCACACACTCACTGGCATTCTAAGGAGTCCAAGGCGTAACAAGCGGCACAAGTTCCGCGCCGATGTTCGATTTAGCGTAAAGGAAAATCGGTTGCACTAAAAGACATTCCGCGGCATATAATTTCGCTCGCACCTGTCGCGGTTTCCCGTCACGTGGTGCAACCGGTGATCGAGCCGCGGTCGTTTCTGACCACGAGAAGACAACGGGAAGAAAGGACGGGAAACAACAAGGGAAAAGAAAAACGTCGCAATGTATTCCAAGTGCGTTGCGTTGTATCGTCACGCCGTATCGTTCCCGCGGAAAGGCTGACCTCCCACCGACTGGAAGGCATGAACGAATGCCGCGCATTTATAGAGACCTCGCACTGGCGCCGACTTTGAAGCCGAGCCCATATAGCTGATCTGATACCTCCACGGATAGCTCCGGGTTATCTTCAAGAGATTTCTGCATCCCTCTCCGTCGCCAGTATCAGCCGCACTAGAAAGAACTTGCGTTCTTCTTTGAGCGCTGCCGACTATCTCTGTCCGTCGCGAACGTTCATTGCTTGAATGAGTAACGAAAGACAAAAATGCACTGAGACAAAAAAATTGTTGCAATTACCAATAATTTAACCAATAATATATACACACATATATATATAATTAGTTATAAATAGTAATTTTTTTAGACAACTATATATTTATACTTGTTTTAACCACGCAAATATAATTATCGTGCTATTAATAATAGTCACATACATTGTTTAAAAATCTTTAATTTTTTCTTAATATATTTTTCAATTATTATTACCACATAAATAGTAAGTGAATTTAAGAAAGTTATATATACTGTAATTGTGATTGTATTTACTGAATAAAAATGTTTATTTTGATTATCATTTATATTTTAATATTCAAAATTATTATAATTTATAGTACAATTTTTTCGTGTTTGAGAGAATTATATGTTTATTATTATTAACATTGTAGCAATAATAGCCATAAAAATGGAACTTCTAATCATAAATATTTTACCATCATAGTCATAAATAGCAAATATTTTTCTTTTAGTAAAGAAGCGAATTTAGATAAAACACGACATACACAGAATGGCCCAGAATATTTGGAACTATTTTCATATGCAGATAAAGCGGAGTAAACCGAGTCAAAAAGTCCCGTACAACTTTTCAACTTTTGCAATATTAATAAATTATTAATTAATAAAAATCGCTGCATTATATAGCCCGGCTAATGGTTAATTATAATATATTGCAAAAATCGGAAATTGTAGAGCATTTTTCGACTCGGTTTAGTCCGCCCTATCTGCATATGAAAATAGTCCCAAATATTCTGGAACACCCTTATATTATGAATCTTCACATATTTCTAAACATTTCTTAAAATTTTAGATATAAAAATTATTCTGAATCTTTGTAGAAAACAAGTGCTAAACAATATAATAGGTTAATCTAATCTTTATGAAGTTAATTCATTTGATTCTGAGGATTTGCAGAACGTGACTGATTGTTATCTTGAAAATACGATCAATATGTGTTACGCGTATAGATAAACGTAGAGATATTCCGATATATTTTTATGTTCCATGTAAATAAAATACATGCAGGACTATTTTTAGTCGTATTTTTGCACTAAAAAAAGTAAAACGTTTTATATTTCCTCCTTTTTCCGCTTTTGAGATTTGTTTGGTCGAACGAGCATATAAAGTTGAAAATAACATTGTCAAAAAACAAGTAAACTTTCTTCCTTCCATCATAGAACATTAGCTGTTATTTACACATTTGCTTTGCTATCGATAAAACATTAAGCGTGCAAATATTGTGTTAAGATCTAGACGCTGGCGACTGTCCATCTCACTTTCTTGCATTACGACGTGCATTGTAAATGAAAATAGATTTTCCTTTCACGTTTATTTCTGCAACGCCGATCTCTACCTCGATGGAAACAGATGGTAAAACATGGGGAGTCGCTTACAATCCTTTTGAACGTTTATTCGATTTGTACATGCATTTTCAGCCGACTCACTATTTTCTTCTCTCTTTATATATAACGTAAAGATAACATAAACAATTAAAATTGAAACGTATTACGATCATTAAAGTAGGTTTTGTCTAAAGAAATTCTGAGGAAATTTTGGTTCACAAAATACAGATTTGATTACTTTACGGATGATAACGTTTTGCGTCGTATTTTATGTGAATGCAAGCTTATCTTTATCAAAATATTATTTTTCATTCAAAATATTGTGTTATCATATAATTACGATATCATATCTATAATAGTAATTATATCTATGATAATAATTATAAGATAGTATATTATATTATGTTATAATAGATCTTTAACGCCATCAGTTCTTTTTTATTAAAAAATGATAGAGGTAAGTGGCTGCAGAATGTTATTCATTATACACGATTAAATCTCTGTATGTGTAGAAGTAAATATAAATCATCAACTGTATATAAAGCTTCATATTTCACAATATTTCTTGAAAATTGTGATATTGTAAAAAACTATTTCGTAGAAAAAAAATCGTTAATTTTTAAAAATAAATATAAGAATGTACAATCATATTATCATAATTATAAAAATATGTACTCTATTTGTGCTTCGTATGTATGAGACATGAAATGAAATATGTATTTATACTGTAAAATCAATTGATAATCCTAAATAAAAATAAATGATAAATTAGCGTGACAAATGTAGCTTTTTATATTTATAATCTTTATAAATATTTATAAAATTGAAGAGAAAAAATATTAAATCAATAACCAACTGCTGATAATTAACCGACTATTGATCTTGTCACCTCCTATAAAAGCGGCTGGTTTTTGTCGTTGAAAGTGTTTCGCGAATTGTACGATGAGCGGTGCAGATTTTGTAAATATCTTCCTATTTTCGTTAAATCAAAGAATTTCTGTTTTAATACGAGCTCATCAGTAATCGAAATATTAGGATAGTAAGAATGCTTTTTTCACAGATAACTCACATCGTCGTACAATTTTTAATTAATATATATATATATATATATAAAATCGATTCTGCTTTATACTGTCTGTAAATAATATTTAAAACAATATTAAATATTAAATAAATATAAATATAATATAAATATAATACAAACTAATGGTAGATTTCTAAAAATTTTATTAATTCGTATTTGTATTTAGAAGAATTTAAATTTGCGACTTGAAGATTCTGGACATGCAATCACAAATTGTACAGTTTTTTAAATTATTGTTGCAAACAATAATTTAAAAAATAGTGCAATTTGTGATTGCATTCGTGATTGCATTTGTTTGCTTATTCTCTGAAATTTGAATTATCTTTTTGTAACGTGTTTGTTTCGGACTCGAAGAAGCAGATAATGACTCGCTGGCTAAACTTGGCAGCAAAATCTAGGAATTCGAACAGCTCTTCATTGTGTCCATGTATTGTTCTGCAAATTGCTAAACTAGATAGTTGTTATCAGTTTACAATTACAAGTAGCACAAGTTTACAATCAATTCTGAGAACAAGTTTTGGAAAGTGCGCGTGAAAAGGTTCGGTTATATGAATGTTAATTTATTGCTGTATATATATTTATCATTTTAATTTCATCTTATATTGTTATACTTTTACATTTGAAATATTGATATTCCACTAAATATATTGTATTTAAAGAGAGAAAAATATATATATAATATGTAGTGGAAACCTTCAGTGACGATTGTAATTAATCCGAATACGTGTCGGATTTTACTGCGAGGGCCGATGTGAGCTTTGTGCGCAAATTTCGCCACCGTTGTCCGCTGAGATTGACTAAATTCGCAGTAAGCGGATCAACGTATTCGTTTGCTGCTGTCCCACGACCTAACTAGGACTATTAATAATAAATAATCAACAATCGTATTCGTTTCAATGCAATCACTATTATAAAAGTCGCATTAAAATTTTATTACTTGTCAGCCGGAAAATTAAGATTACTAGTACTCTGATCATAATTTAAAAAAAGAGATGAGTTTTCTAGACAAAATAAATATTTTTTAAATCAATGAGCTTTCAGATTAAGGTAATTATTTGATAGAAATTTGTTTCATTAATGCTGAAGCGTACATAAGGCAGTTAAATTTGAGCATAATTGTATACGTCAAAAGTATCTTAATTATAAGTTCGATCATGCATCTTTGTCATGATCTTCCATAGATGTTATATAAAATATGTAAAGCTTAAAATTCTCAGAAGAAAAATAGAAGAGAAATAATTTTCTACAATTTTAATATTTAATTTAATTTATGTAATATGTCAAATTTCCAGCATATGTTCAGGTTTTTTGTAATTAGCACACAAATAATTTTATGGATTCGTCGCGATCGCAGGGTGCGTGATTTAACCTACGGACCTTGATAAGATGCGCGAAGCCAAATATCCAGATCTGTACTCTGAAAATAGCTTGCCATAATGTACTATAACGAGTTTTGTTAACTATTATCCGCGTGTCAAGCGAGTTTGAAAGAACTCTGCTTTTTTTCCCACAAAAGAAGTCAAGAATTAAGATTCTCTGTTTAAATATGTAAATTTTGAATTTATTAAAATTACAATTAAATATCTCAATCAAAAGTTTCTAAAGGTCTCTTTATGTGATATTAAAACACTCTCTGTCTTCTATGCATTTTCAGATGACAAATGCTGTTTCTGCTACGAATTCTTTTACGAATTTTGATTCACATTTTTCTATCTGTGCGTACTTTCTAAATCTTGAATTATTTTGTGACGCGACGGTATTAAAGGTGAAGCTTTCTCTTGCACGGATACAAAGCGAGAAGTTGAGCTGCAAGCATCACCGAAATTACGCGGACCACCGCCCGTGTTCTTCCAGTATCTTGCGTAATAAATCCGCGTCGGCCGGACCGCAGCGGATCCGGTAGCGTCGTTGCAGTCGGA